GCCGCTCCCCCGCCCTTCCTTCCCACCCGGCCCCCCTCGCCACCTCTCAGAACTCCTACGACCCCCTTCACCTCCCCGCTCCCCAACACCATGGACCTCCCTTTCCTCTCAGGACCCCGAACCCTTCTCACCCCTCCAGCTGCTTGAGCTCCAACTCCGCCTCCTGTCGCCCGCACCGGAAACACGCCCCGGCCCCACGTGGTTCCCGGTACTCGCACGTGCGGAACCTTCCTGCTCAAGTTGGCTACCGGGAAGAGCCCCTTTTGCAGAACACCGCTTGCCCACGCTTCTTCTGGTGAGTCGGACGTCATTCTAGGGAGCAACTTCCCCGATCTTTGACTTCCGGCGCTGCTTTTTCCTGCTCTTCCGGCACTCTGCCGCCATCTTTTTTTCTTTTCTTCTCTCTCTCTTTTTTTTTTTTTTTAAGATTCTGTGACTCACTTCCTTCGTTCTGGAGCAAATCGGCTTCCCGGAAGGTGGCGCTCCTACTTTGCGTGAAGTCAAAACGCGCGTCCGACTCTGAGGTAGACGCCTTGCTTGACGTTTACTCCTTCTTTGCGGGCTGTCAAACAATAAATTCTTTATTGAGGACCTAGTGTGTGCCAGGCACTGTTCTAGAGCCTGGGGCCTATAGCAGTAAACTCTGTTGGTACTTCTGTTGGGGTTAGGAATGGGGGCAAACAATAAACAAATGTATATGGCATTATGTAACTGCTGTTAAAAAAAAATAAAGGGGGGAAAGAGGAGAGATGAAAGGAGTAAACTATTTTAAAAGGTTGGTTGAGGAAATCTCTCTCAGGAGAGGTGACAGTAGAATAAATGTGCATGAAGTGAGGGAGCAAGTTCGGTGGTTCTCTGAGCGCTGTTGTAGGAGGCATGCGGGGTGGCGAATGCAGCTGGAGGGGGGCTAGGGGGTGCTCTGCGGGAAGCCCCTGGAGTATTTTGAACAGGGCATGGCATCATCCGGCACACTTTTTTTTTTGGTAAATCTGACTGCTATAGGAGGAAT